TATTTTTTGCTAGAACTAAAACAAAGAAAATTTATTATTAAACATCAAAATAAAAACAAAAAAACCCAACAACAACAATAACAACAACAATCATAATTGATTATTATTTCTAGGTATTTTTTCGGATAATAATAGTGAAATATATGATGAACAAGATGAAAGTTCAATGTCTCCAGCATCATCATCATCATTTTTACATTCAAAAAATCGAACTTCAACAAATCGAACTATAGGCAATTTTTTAAATAATACAAAACAACATGGATTAAATGATATATTTAGTAATAGTACTATGAATTTATCTCATAGAAATAGACGTAATTCAGATGATGATAAACGACCTTATCAATGTTCAATATGTTCAAAAAAATTTAAACATAAACATCATTTAAAAGAACATGAAAGATTACATTCAGGTGAAAAACCTTATACATGTGATAAATGTGGTAAACGATTTAGTCATTCGGGTATGTCTTTTAAATTAAATAGAAATATATATTTCTGAATAAAATAATTCTACATTAAAAAAAAATCATTATCATAACGTATGCGGTAAAGAAGATTGAACTCATAGAGATATTTTGAAACAATAAAAAATTTTGATTTTAACTTAATGTTTTCAAATTTCTACAGGATCTTTTAAGATGCTAAAAAAATGAATACATAATTTAATCTAATTATAATGGTTAATAACAGGAGGCTATAGAACTTTTGTCTTTACGTTTTAGTCTCGTAAATTCATATTGATCACTTTCAAATTTATCTTAATATTGGATAAATCGATTAAGTCTGTCACAATGCTAATACCATTTAGTATTGACTAGTGTTATTTCCTTTGTGTAAAATAAAAAGTCATGGCATTCCATAATGAAAATTCATATCGCCCTGCAAAAGATTGCTTTTTGATAAAATTATTTTTCTGATATTCAAATAGGTTTTATTAGCAACTAAATGGTGGAAGACTCGGTTTTTAAGTTAAATCTCCTATATTTCCAAAAACAATTTTGAAAATCCCATCTCCTTCTAGTATGCCTTGTCAGTAGCTACATTAGCTGTGTTATCAACAATCTAGTTTTAAATGAAATACGATTCCGACCTGTATAAAATTCAAATAGAAATCTTTAATAGCCTTATCCTCTTTATATGAGTCGAGTAATATACTAAGGAAATCGTGAAATATGTGTTGAAGTAAGACAGATATTCCAAGATAAGCATGTCTTGCTATATATATTCAACATTTGTTCTTGAGCTCATACATATTCTAATGTGATTTCTAAACGAAACAAATATATTTTTTTTTAATCTGTTGTGATAAATCATATTCTTTTTTTTTTGTTTAGGTTCATATTCTCAACATATTAATCAACGTAATAAATATTGTCGACCTGATGAACCTAATATAGACTTTGATTAAATAATTGAACAATAAACATTTATACTTTTTCTTTTCTGACAGTACAAAATAGTTATGTGTAAATACAAATTATTTCAAATGTGATATTTTGCAATTTTTGAGAACAGTATTTATATAAGATAGACACTTGTGATTATTATTTAATATTTATGTAACGTAATAAACTATAACAAAGATCATTTCGACAGATGCACTTTTCAATTTTTTTGTTTAAAAACTGTTATTTTTATTTCGCAATATATTCAAGCTTTGCGTTTTTTTTTTGTTCTTGTGTTGATAAAATTTTATGTTATATTTTATCCTAGAAATAATAAATATGGTGCGAAGCACAGTATTTATGTAGTCCTTCGCATACACATTCAACGTCCATATTTTGTGACGAGATGGTCTGAAGAACGACACATCGTCTGATGTTCGTAATCATAAAAATAATTAAACTATCAATCGAAAATGTTCTGTAGAAACATGACGATACCCTTTGATAGAGTTTCTGTAGAGAGAGAGAGAAGCGTATAAATCTAATATAGCGTACACACCTTGACCGAAAATAACACTTGATATTGATTCTAGAATCGATTACAGCTTTTTTTTTTCTGAATATCGACGTTTTGTGCTTCGCATCGCATTTCGTATTCGAGAGAATCTTGAATATCACTGATGTAAGAACTTCTTAATCAAAAGAAGATGACTTTTCAACTTCGAATATTTTACTTGATAAATTAAATATAATTTAGCTAATTATACCTATTCAATTTTAACCTATATATTGGAACGGGTTTGTTCTTATAGAGATGAAAAGGAATTAAAATCTCAACAATTTTTCAATTATTTTTAAAAAACTGTGGAATGCACATACTATTTCCAGAATATCTACTTTTACACTAGTTTTGATTAAACATCTGATTATTTAGGCTAGAATTCATCTGTTCATTCCGAATGCAATATTTTTCTTGCAAAGTAAGTTTGTGTCGTGATGTCATTCGTTTCTTAATTAGTTGAACAATCGAATCATGCATAAAAAAACAAGTATTAGATAGTAGAACGAGATCAAAAAAGTGTTCATTGTATAGAGTAGAAAGGTGTTCATATTAAGAGTACCAATACTATATTGTTCTCATCAATTAATAACCATTAAATCTTCGCTATCTGAACTACAAATGTCCAAAAAGTCTTTCTTCAAATGAAAGATTCAATACTATCTGTTGTCATTCAACAATTTATAACATATGTTGATAATGAACAAACGATAAATATAAAACCATTAGATATGATAGTAATATATATCAACAAAAAATGTGAAGTGAAGTAAATTGTTCATAAAAAAAAACATTTTGTTGAACTATTACAAATAGGATTTATAAATGCAGCATCAATACCTCAATCATAAAGACCATCATTATCAAGAACTTCAATTGATACTTCATTTTGTATTATTGAATGCCGTGATATACTGAAAGATAATTGGATTCTAGTAACAAACAAAACACTTTTCATCAAATCAATAAAATTAACTTAAAATTTAAATTAATGAAAAATATCATAGAATGAACATTTAGTTTCATCAACGAAATTACATGATGTTGAAATCGAAAGATCATTCAATCACTTGAATATAACTCTCAGATACAGTATTATGACAAGATAAAACTAATATTATATGAGTTTATATTTATTGAAATATGGGATTCTGAACAATTTTCATGAAATGAATTAAAAAAATAACATAGGATACTTAAATAATTAAAATTCATGTAGAGCTTCATCGAAAACTCATCCTGATTTCTTCATGTTAAACACAGATATATTCGAAATTATATTGTGAATAAATAACAAAATTGGATTTTTTCAAAAATGAGAAAATCTTGATGATTCATTACAAACTTGTACATGTCTTGTAACGCGATTTAACATCAGATATACACTATCTAGACTGTTTTTTACAAATTAAACTAAGTCAAGTTAAGCGATACATACATCGAAAATTATAAATGCTTAAAAACTTTAAAAAAAGCAGAACAGAACATATTTTCTATCCTTGCAAATTCCGTTTTTTTCAAAAGCTGTATGTGTAAGAACTATAATTTGTAAATAGGATTCAAATCTATCACTTTCATGGTTAATTTTTTAAGAACAATCGTGACACACAATGTATTTGGCATAAAAGACATCGATTAAGACGATTGAAATTGAATATTTCAAATGTAAGTAATGAAACAGTGCAAAATGTATTTTTTCATATAAAAATAGCAAACATGCAAATTTCATATATAGAAGCCTATGCAAGTTTATATCGATTTAGTATTGCAATATGTTGAGAGTTGTCTACTTGTAATTATGAACTTTACTCGTGACAGCCATATACTGCTACGCAATTCTAATTCAATATCAATTTTCAAAATGAAATTAGCCTTCGAGTTTTTTTGCTATTTCGATAGAAAAGTTGTTATTTGAATGAAAATTATAAGTGAAAAAGAATTTATGGCTTGTTTTTGGATGCTGATTCCATATGTGATTATGAAAGTTACATTTACATTCGAATCCGTATTAGACAAGTACTATAATATTCACTTTTGTTTAGTCTGAAAAATGTCGTCATGATCGTATGCAAGTAAGATTCATACAATTTTCATGTGGATGACAATGATAATGAGAAAAGAACGTCTGGAAGATGTGAATGCTAGTTTATAAAATCTAAAAGTAAGAAAAGAAAAAAGATCATCATGGTATTACATGTTTGATGTCCCTGCAAATACATTGACCATAACGTCGATTACATGATATTGTTGGATTTTTTTGGAAAACGCAATTACGACAAATAAGAAAGATCAACAATAAAAAACTTCTTCCGTTCGTGTCTGTAGAGGAAGTGAAAATGTGCAGATAGAATATGGAAGCAAACGGCTGCTGAAGAAAAGTTAACTTTCATGTTTCCTTCTTTCGATCTGTCTGTATTCTTTTATCAAGTTGATGAATTTGAATTAATAAAAATGCATGAAAATCAATTCAATACTGTTCATTACATTACATTCATGTCCTTTCTCTTTAAGTTTATTAATTTATAATCATCGCGTGCCATTAGAATCTATATACGAAGTATGATTAGCATCATATATTAAAAATATCGCTAACGACTGTTCAAGAATTTCTTATTTTCATAAATATGCACATTGTGGCTGTATGCCTACAACATAAGAAAGCATCTGAGTAATATAAATGAGAATGACTGTTTCAAAAATCTTCATGATCGGAAAAAAAAATACTAAACAATATGAAATATTTTCTATCATCAATAAATTTCAATTTTGGTATTCGGCTCAGTCAAAACACTAAAATAATATTTATAGTACTCTAGATATGTTGTGATCTATTAGCTATTCGTATTTTTCCCTAGTTTATTTTTCGTTTAACATTTATTCGAGAACATGTTAATAGATCGATTGTTTTGATGATCGACATTCCTAGTTTCACATTGCATTTCCTATTCGATCGAAAATTATTTCAATGATTAATCTCGATCAAATTTTAAGAAAAAAGCTGAAGTGTTTTACATTTTATCTAAACTTTTTTATTGTTTATTTTCTTTTTTCTAATAAAGCAACATAAATAAACTACTAATAATCGATACTACAGATATAGTTATTGTTATTGCTGATGATGAAATACTTATTGATTTTGCATCACGACATGAACCTGACATACAACGAAGTTTAGTTGAACAAATAGTTCCACCTTGTCGTTGACATGTTAATTCTGCTAGTCGACTTTTTCCATTCCATACACCTTTACAACGATTACGATTAAAATATAAATCTAATTGATCATTTTCTAATGCACCAACACCAACTTGTACTGTTCCTTGTCGAATAGCAAGTGTTGTTCGTTGTTGATCGAATATAAATGGTCCATTTGTTTCACAATTTTCTTTTGGAGCATTACATTCACATGAATCAATTATATATATTCCACTTAAATTTTCACTTGAAATTTTTGTTATAAGAATTAAATTTATAAGAAATATAACAATTGAACGAAACATGTTATAATGAATATCAGAAGAAGAAAAAATGAACGAAATTTATAGGAGAATATTTTTATGTAATTGATATTTTAAGCCATCGGATTTTGTATACAATTGATTGAATAATAAAAGATTAGAATGAGAAGTAATTTAATATGTTCATATATATATATATGTACGAAAGAAATAGTGAACATTTTATTTCAGGGTTAAATCTTCAACTAAATTTTAATTTGATCATAAACGATACTTGATTATATGTACATATACATATGTAAAAAGAACAATTGGTAATAAGATATTGAATAATACTTCATAAATTCAAGCTTAAATCAGTTATTCTGTAAGCTATACTTGAATAGGAATATGTTCAAATTTTTCTTAGCAAGACTAGTTAAGTTTATCTATTTAAAATATAATCAGATAAAATAGTTCAAGTTTGACTTTGATATAAATTTTATCATAGCAAACATAGATAGTTGACATTTAAGGGGGACCCCCCTCAGAAACGAACTTTGTTATTTTCTCTTCCGATGTCAACGAAAATTTCAGAGAATGTTAGTCTTGGTTAGAATATCTCCCCCAAATCTCTAACTTATACACAAGTTCTAGTGAATTCATTACCCGTTACGCGGGCAAGGATTTCACAATGAGGTTACTATGTAATCGTGCCGGGCTGGTTTTTAAATTGTAGAATGATCTTAGGGCTAGATCCTTACGTTCTCCGATTTTTAAAAACTCTTTTTTCATCACATGTGCAAATTCAAAGTACTCATCAAACTGAAATATCTAAGTTTTTTATTTCAGCAAATGAGAAATTCAAAAATCGGAGCCTGTGAGGATCTAGCCCTAACGATCCTCTATTCAACAAAAAAAAATTATCCCTTCTCTATTGAGTCAATATTAAGAAATCCTTCCCCGCGTAAACGGTAAACTCGAAAAAATTGATTTTGAGAAAAACGAAAAATAAGTATTAGAAGTCGATTTTTCCGAAAATCACCTGATTTATATATCAATGTTCAAGACGGGCTATAAATGTGTGATTTTAATATTAAGTGTTGATAGTCTCTTAGTGATTAGTATTTAAAAAAAACTTTACGAAATGATGATGCAGAGAGAAAGCAGCCTAAAAAGTCGAAAAACCTTGAAAAAAACACCATGAAAATTTCTCGAAAAATATGATAGTAGGAGCAAAGTTTTAGACGATAAGTTCATAAAAATCAATTCATTTTTCGATAAAACATAGATATTCTGAAAGAGGAGACTTCAGTGCATCTTCCTATGATAAAACTTCAATTTTGACTCATCTCCGAAAAATTGGATTTTCTGAGGGGAGGTCCCTCTTAAAATGTTTCAAACATACGAATTGAATGTTAATATCAGTATTCTCTGTTAGAAACTTATCTTTACTGAAATATAAATTTCATATTTATATGACTATCAAATAAAATTTCTTATAACTAATATTCATAGGAAAAAGTAAAATCATGCATTTTTTGATAGAAATCCTCTTTTTTTGTTTTTGTTGATTATTTTCAATCTCTTTATAGAAGAATTGAAACTTTTTTAATACATATATACTAAGAATTTTTGTATAAGATTAATTTAAATATTGATAATAATAAAAGAAAAAGCACTTTGACAAAACAAAATTTCTCAATAGAATTTTCAAACAAGTATTTCATTCTTCTTAATTTTATTGATGAATGAAATTTTCAACTTTTACTTAGTTTATCATTTATTATTGATCCATTTTTTTCTTAAGACACCTGCCTTCTCTCGTAATGTCGTGATCACATTTTTCGTTTTTGTTCTTTTTCTCTCGATTGTACCATTCAAAACATATTCTATTTATACCGACTGCCATACGAGCCAAGAACGCATGTAAAAGCATAAACTAGAACATAATAATCTTTTTTCTCTTTTCTGTATTGAGATGTATTTTTGGTAACTTTTGAATGAAAATGCAGAAAAGGAGAAATTGTTCTCATAATTATAAATCACGATCATGAGCGATAAAAACGACCTATTCTTTCTTGTTTTCAATATGTTGACACATGTTTTACGCACTTTGTCACTGCTGACAAAGAAAAAAAAAATCTTCTTATAATTATTCTGAAAAATGTTCAGTCTATAACAATAAGTTTTGTCTCTACTCATTGATATTTATCTGAACTGAAAAGTTCAAAATTTTGAATATGAAAGTAATTTTCAAATCTTTAGCCTTTTTTTTTCAAATGTATACGACAGGAATAATAAAGAATACATAGTTTTTTTCAACTTCGTATTACATAATTGCGCATATTTGATTATTTATAAGACAACATCATATGATGTCAATGTTTCGTTCTGTCTTGTATATTTTAATCATTGACATCGTCACCAAAAGTCAAAGAACGATTGATTTTGATAATTTATATTAATATTGCCATAAAGACAAGTTATTCATGAAATGACATTTATATAATATTGACAATGTTGTTTAATGATTTAGAGTAAAATATTCGAACTTCGAATAATAAAGTTTATTAATTCAAACTTCTATTTTTGATCAAAATGATAAATCCTATAAAAATCTCATGACTAATTTGTATTTCTTGATTGCAACAATATTCAATTCTTGTCAAACTTAAACAAAAGAATGAAGATTTGAAAGAAAATTTTTATATCATTTGTGAGATATTAATGTCAACTTGTTCAACCAATATGAATATCGTCTGTTGATAACTTGTAAAATAATTACTTGCATATATCGGTAGAACATGAAAATTACGTTCTTCGTTCTATTCATTTATATAGAATCAGCATGAAACAAATTCATGCATATCAACACAGCATTATGTATCTATCATTCAAACTAGTGTAAAGAAGATGAGTTTATTAGATAATGAATATTATTCATGAAAATATATTTTTCAAATAAGTGCATAGGAAAAGAAGAAAAACAAGTACCATTTAATGTCGATTCGCATTATGATTTTTTTTTACCTTAACCATTTCATAAACAAAACTGATTGTATGATACTGTCCATAGAACACATGAAAGTAAAATTATATGTTTACGAGTAATGATCCACGAATATAACGACTGATCTTGATATAGACACATAACAAAACTAACATCTATATATATACATCTAAATCCCTTGTATTCATGCTCTAATACTCACAGTACCATTATTTTTCCTTCCTTTTTCATCGACGTTACACTAAAAGAAACAATTTTGTTTTACTTTTCTGCATCTACGCCAATACATAATTATATTGATTTACTCTTTTTTTCTATTCGTTTCACATATAAAAAGATCTGTTCCGTCATTTTGTGTCTCATTTCTTTTTTAAAGTGATTTCGATAAACAAAATTTAGCAATCATAGCACTAGTACGACAATGAACAATACTACTACTGCTCAAAGCAATCATGATACAGGTGATAATGCTTGGATGATGACATCTACTGCATTAGTTTTACTTATGACACCAGCATTAGCTTTTTTCTATGGTGGTCTTGTTGATAGAAAAAATATTCTAAATCAACTTTTTCTATCATTTATTTGTATGGGTATTGTTTTTTTACAATGGGTTTTATTTGGTTTTTCATTTGCATTTGGTCCTCCTGTTAGTGTTGGTTTTGGATCATTTCGATGGGCTGTATTACGTTTTGGTGAATATGATAATACAATCTATAGCCCAACATATCCATTATTAACATATGCTGCATATCAAGGTACATTTGCTATTATAACACCAGCTCTTATTTCTGGTGCAATTGTTGGTCGAATGAAATTAGTTCCTTATATGATATTTATTTTTATATGGACAACTGTTTGTTATGATCCAATGGCTCATTGGGTATGGGGTAGTAATGGTTGGTTGAAACACTTGGGTACACTTGATTTTGCTGGTGGAACAGTAGTCCATATCTTATCTGGTGTATCTGGTCTTGTTGCATCACTTATTCTTGGTAAACGATCTGATTATGATCCACATAGTACTGTCGATCATAATCTTCCATTCACTATATTGGGTACTTGTTTACTCTGGGTTGGTTGGAATGGTTTCAATGCTGGTTCAGCTAATGGAGCAGAGTAAAATAACGAAAAATAATTATCCATAGAGAATTCATGTTTTTTCATTTTAGTGGTTTAGCTGCTCTTGCTCTAATTAATACAAATGCAGCAGCTGCTACTGGATTAGTGACATGGGTAGTTATTGATGCTATTCGTGGTCATGTATCTATTTCAGGTTCATGTCTTGGTCCAATA